GGAGTGAGCGAGCGGCTGTGTGGTGCTTAGTTGCCAGCTGGGGTTAAACCATGACAGATGCTTATGAGCAAGATAGAAGGGGCAACGTATGTCATATGACCCTTTATATAGCTTTTTATTTGCACAGATGGCAGGTTGAGGAAAGAAGGAGACAGCTCAGAACGTAGGTATTCCGATACTCCCTCAAAAGTAGCCAAAGATCTTGGATCTTCAACAAGATCCCAAGTGTCTCCGCCAGATTTTCAAAAGGGGGGCATGCAGAACTAAAACCTTGGATAACTTTTATGTTAAGTCAAGCTATCAAACTATATAACGGAGAGAAGGAAGAGTTACCTAAAACAGGTTATAAAAGCAAAAAATGAAGAGACATGTGGCCCTTTCACTTTCTCTTTCCCACTTTGCACAAATGAGCAAGAATTAGGGCCTGCTTTACATTCCCAGGCTTGAAAGGATGGTTAGCCAGCTGCCAGGTGGCTCTTTTAAGACCAGGCACATGTCTGTTGCTCAGCATGGTTATCCTCTGGGCAGAAGCTCTTTTAGGCACCGACCAGCATCCTGTAGCTGACGTGCTATCTGAAGTGCTCAGTAAGATTCTAGTGGACCTCTAGTCTCACCCTGTCAGTGGTATGACTTCCTCTAAACTCCTTTACGTTTGCTGGTCCATGATGAGATCTAGTTCAGAGAAGGACGCAAATTTAAATCGAGGTAATCTAGATCAAAAGAATGTGATAATGGGCTGTACTGCAGTAAAAATTTATATGCTTCAGTCCATTCCCATTCAACAAAGCACTTGGGTCTTTCCTAATGACCGTGTAAATTACTGGGGCTGCAGTGCACACCTTACAGTTCAGCATGTTGCACAAGTACTATGATGAAGAGGGATAGATTGCTGAGTCAGGGTTGTAGACAGTCTGCAGCAGTTAAAAAGATGCTATTTTTGTAGTGTATCCTAGGCATCACTTGCTATTATTAACAGTATTTTCATTAACTTGCATAGGACACAATAAAAGATGTTTCAAAATACATCACAGCTATACTTTTCTCTAATGAGGAACATTCACAGAAAGAGTGAAAGCTTTCAAAACTGTACAGTTTTTAAGGAAATTAATCACATGGCTAAAAAATAAAGTTATAAAATTTGAGAGTACCATAATGTGAGGATGTCCAAGCAAGCCACAAACCCATCCTAAGAAAGAAGAAACTTCTATAAATGCTGTGGTGAGGAATACCTCCAAAGGATTAGAGCTTATCTGCAATTGTGTTCTCTCTTTCTCATCTGCTAGATGTCCCTCAATTTTTTCTGACGAGTTCAGAGGGAACACCACAAGCAACATGATGTGTTTGAAGGAACAATTGTAGGCCTTTTTTTTTTACCCTTTTGACCGCATGACTGGGGTGACAAATTGGTCCAAAGAAATACAAGTAGGTCACCAACTGGAATCAACAGTTTGACTGGAAAAGAGGGAATTCAAAATGTCACACAAAGGACAATTTACAGACTCCATAAAATATTCATGCATTGTATATCTGTGTCAAATAAGAAGCAGACAAATATTGACAGGATTAATTCAGGATATTTCTAGCATATCTTTTTATCATGCTTTTTCAATATATGGAAAACATACCTAACACATATCCATTAATGTATTAATGATGTAGAATTTCCTAGCAGTTATTATATTCTCTAAGGGAAAAACTGTGACTAAGTAGATGGACTTGGAAGAAGGTCTTGACATTCAATAACTTTAGGCTCTGTGACAGAAGTTGGGACAGGAAGGACAAAGGAGTGTTGGAGTCAGCAGCTCAGGTTAAAAAGCTGTCAAAGTGATCAGACTTACTGATTGTAGTGGACATATTAAGCATTAAAATGCACAGGTGCTTGCCAGGATTTTTTTTTTTTTTTACTTCAGTATGACTTTTTTACAAAAGCCACTCAAAAATGCATGATGTCTCCAAGTTGCACAATTTTACAAGAGGGCTATTTTGGGGGGCAAATACATTTGGAAATTTCAATTAATTCAGAAATTTAAATCTACTATAGATTTATTTGGGTTTAAAATGTGCAGTTGCTGATTTAGCAATAGAACAATGCTTAGAAGATATATAGCAGAGGATGTATCGGTGAAAGTTGAAATCAATAAAGCATGAACACGAGTAAGGGCATTTTTTGATTTGGTTTTAGCAAATCTAACAGGATATATGTGGACTGGGCATTAAAACGTATTGACGGTAACATTAAAAATGATCATTCAGACAAAACAAGCATATCATGAGTTACTAACTGCAATTACAAATAACTGAATAAATATTTCAAACCTTTAATCAAGAATTAGTTCTACTAAGTTTCACAGGAAAAAAACAGGATGTAAATGCTGCAGATGTGATATCCTTTCATTAAGGTAGGCTTGGAGTTGACAAATCATTAAGGATGCACTTCAGCATTTTGAGATTCAGTAAAGCAATTTAGTGTGTCTGCTGTGTTCTTAAGTGCTCTGGTAAACTAGTCTTTGAGATTTTGGAGGTGGGTTTGCAATGCACATAGTACTGAGTACATTGTCACTGGATAATAAATATTTTTGAAAAGTCAGCTATGTGTGTCAACGGTCTGAATGTCATTCAATTTTAAAATAATATTTTAATATTTTTGTTTTTATTAATTTTATTTGGCCATATTTAGGGATCTTGACAGTTTCCCAGCAGCATAAAGTAAAATAGCTAATAAATGTTTCAAG